GGTTTTGTCATCATCAGATGACATTTGCTGTTATGTTAAACTTATATTAAAGTTTTTCTTCATTACCCATTCAAGCCGTCTCCAACCATTATAATACAATCCTTTGGAAATGCTCAACAGCACATCCATTACAGGAGTTTTTGAGTGAAGTGGTATAATATTTTTATACAAGTTCTTTATGTTATTTAGAAGACAAGCAAAATAACAGTAAAAATTAGGAGTCTATACTTATTGAAGTTCTTTCTTAGGGATGTCAGGTTGTGTGATGCTTAAATTTTGTATGTACTTAGTATTGTTTACAGATATTTTCAAGAAATAAAAAGCTATTATAATCTTAACTCCAGCATTCACAAAATACAGTACTAAGTATTTTGCAGACATTACATCATTTAACCATACTTGTTTAAACACACCAAGTAATATACATATGTGTAACACATACAAATAAAATATTAAGATTTATATACCTTTCTCAGTGGAAACAATACATAAAGCCCACTCCATCCCAGAGGTCAATTTCTCAGAGTTAGCTGCAACAGCAAACTGGTAGTTTAAAGTTTTCTCAAAATCAAATTCTGTTCTATTGACATCAGCTGGTATAGTTTTCCAGTTGACTGGATGACTGCATATAAGAGGTCGAGGACCATTACACCAGAAGACGGTAAAGTTGGTAACATGGACTTTTTCTGTTGGGTAGCCCCACTCTATCTCATAGGTACCATTAACATTGAGAACAGTTGTGATGTTGACAGGTTTTGGAATGACTGAGTAAAAGAATGCTTGCTTTAAAGATACTCTAAAAATTCATAAATAACCAAAATTGCATATTTCATATATATATATATATATCCTGCTAACGAAACAACTTTTCAGAGTTTAATCACAATTATCAAAAACTAAATTATATTAAAAACACAAAACAGAAAAACTAGATCAACAAACATAATGCCAATTCATTACAATTTTACAGTGTCTTCAAAACCAAAAACTGAATCAGAAAACATCATACCAATTCATTACAATTTTACAGTGTCTTCAAAACCAAAAACTGAATCAGAAAACATCATACCAATTCATTGAAATATGGAAACACATCTTTGAAATCTTAAACAGAGTCATACCAATTCATTAAAAAAGTTCATAAAATGTCTTTCTATGTGCTTATTTCTTCAATTCTCATTCCAGAAAATAAATGCTGGTTTTGAAACATATTCAATGAAAGCACTGCAGCATACATATGTGTATTTTGAAGAAATAATACTGATAAACTGTTAGTATGAATCAAGTCTGTAAATATACATACACATATATACATGCATAAGTAATACACAAGTTCTACTCTTACAAATGATTTATGAAGTATGAGAAATACAAAGGACCAGAGGAACTGTTGGCCCTATCAATCCATTAAACACTTCACTGTTATAATAAATCAGGATTGATCCCACTCTAGATCTAATATTAAAGCCCACAAGCTTCATTATAATCAAACTTAATACATTTTATAGATATAGTAATCATTATACAACCTATACTTTCTAGTGTTATTTTAGGAAATGCTAATAATAATTTGAGAAAGCAATCTAAAAATTAACAGATTGAAATCTAACTCCTTACTTTTGTCAACACTATTCACGAGAATTTCTGATGAATTGTCAGATTTTCCTTCTCTGTTTACAGAGTGAAAGATGAACCTGTAAGATGTGTTGACTGCCAGATGGTCAAAGGTATAACTCGATAGAAAATCCCCAACTCTCACTCTTTTTACCAAAAGCCTTTGTTTAGAATCTGCTTTATTATTATTATTAACATGGCACTCAATAATGTAGTGGAAATCTTCTCCATTGTAATATTCCTTAGGAACAGGCTAAAACAAAAGATTAAAAATGTTTTTGTTACATAGAAAGAAAACTAAAACACATGTAAGGCAACTATAAAAATTCTGAAATAGTTTTATACAATACAACAAAACAAAGAAACTAGTTTTAATTATTTCATGTTATCCTGTTTTCATTAGAGAAAACTTTTCTAACATATTATAATAAATCATTCAATACAATACGTTATTTAGACACAAAATCACTTCCAATTACAAGCCAGACATTACAAACACCTTATTACCTTGAAACCACAAGAAATTCACTCCCTAATAATTTGTCACTGTCATAAAACAAATAACATTATTAGTAAACTACAGATAGTTTTCTAACTTGGAAAAAAAAATCAGAACAGAATTTTTTTTTTTTTACTTGAACATTATTAAGTATTATCAAAACATGAAAACAAATTAGCAAGGAATACTATATGAGAAAGATTTTATATTCTTTTCTTACCAACGGTACTTTTCAACTTCTACGTAACAAGTGTACAATCAAATATCTAATATACCATAACAACCTTGAACAACAAAGAATCAAAATTTAAGAAGTTGTTATTGATATAAAATGTTTAAATTTTACAAATAAAAACATTTAGCATAGTTATAAGAGTTGGAATAAGGTATATGAATAAACAATACATAAGACCAAATAAAAACAAATGACAGTACAGTAGTGTCAATGTTTTACTTCAACAAAAACAAATGGTATTTTTGATATTTAGAGTTAAGTTTTCCATACAAAACTTCCATTATATAACTGCCTTTATTATGAATATCATGATAAGTGTCATTTATCTTTTACTTTAATTAGTTAAATTCAAACTTATCTAGAAATAAAAACTATTTATAGTTATGTTCGAAATAATGTTATTTCTGCTTATTTGTGTTCATTATATCTTTATAAATGTTGTTTACCCTAATACGTTTTTTTTAATTGCTTTATGTTTTTGTTTCATTACTTCTGCTGAAAAACATCAGAAGATAGTGTTTTAATTGTACACTCTCCCCAGTATGGTTAAGTATCTTTTTTATTCTGCTTTAATATAACTTAAGTTTCATGTATTTGCTTTCATCATCTGAAACTCTTTAAACTTGTGTAGCAAAAAAAAAATATATCAAATTTCTTTAACATCACAGAATTCCATCATTCCTTCCAAACTGTACTAGCTACATAAAAAAACTGAAACAATTCTAACCTTCCAGTATAAAGTTATATTTCTCTCTTTATAAACTTTCTGTTGAAAAGCTCCCTTCTTGATGACTGGATTCAAATATGGTACTGTAAATCACCACCACCAAAAAGATTACTAACATTCACATATAAAGTCATATGTTTCAAAAACAACAACAGAATATTAAAGTTCAACCCAATCACATAACTTTTATATTTTTTCAAATACATAAAATTTTATTGTGCAAGGAGAGATTATATATATATATTAGGAACCATCCAGTATTGTAGTGACTAGCACAAGAAATTATTATTGTTGTTTCATCACTCACTAGGAAAACATATGCTTTAGTAGAATTAAACTTTTGTAATTTAATTAAAGTTTTCTCAATGTAATTTAACTTGGAAAGTTGGTAATATAATTTTTATTCCAAATTAAATATTTAACTATGTTTCTTTAAAAAAAGTTAAGAGTCACAAATAGTCCCAAAGTGATAACTCTGAAACACAGCTATATATCATTTATCTTACCAATAAAAATCAGTTAATGGATTAGTCCATTGGACTCGAGTAGTTTATTATGTGCTCACCAAATTTTCATAAAATCACACAAATCATCTTCTTAAAATTATTTGCACGAAATAAAATACATTTTTCACAAGTACACCCCTCTCAATTATTAAAAGTTAATTTATACTGTAAACAAGTTATATATTTATATTATTTTCATAGTATCCTGTGACTTCAGTGTTTTGTAACAGATCTTACATGTGGTTTGCCACAGTCTTAATAGCATAAAAAAAATTATCTTTATAATAATAATAATAATATCAAAATCTTCTACCATCTGGAGAAGTGTGACATGAAGTTGTATTAAAAACACTCCACATGTCTCCTGAAACCAGATCTGCCTTACTAGATCGGCAGCGAACCCGGATTTCATAATGAATGTAAGGAATCAATCCTGTCAGAATGTACCCAGTTGTATCTACTCCAACTTCACGAATCTGTAAAAAACTTTTTCTTAACAGCATTTTCCAGTCATACAATCATCTAGCTAAATAACACTGAAAAAAAACTGCACAAATTTAATTGAAATGTTTCCACACAAAGAATATAATTATACAATGTACTAGAGAAAGATGATCAAGGTAAGAAAGCATACACGTATCTAGATAGCTCAGTTGAAGGTTTTCACATAATTCATTGTCATCTTCAATTAATCAGAATGACAGGGCTAGTCTTTCTGGGAGGCTCAATAAATACACTGTACTTTGTTATACTTACAAGAGAACTGGTATAGTTCAGTGGATGTAAAATTATGATATTATACGACAATCAGAAGATATTTTATCACAAAAACTGTCAAACCAAGCTAGTCAATTAACACCCAAGTCAGCCAAAGTTAACCTTAACTTATTTCTTCATCCTACTAGAGATTCTGCACCAACTTGATTGAAGTTTTAGCACAGTGGAACAAAATATAGTTCTTCTTTAAGTAAATCACCTATGATTTAAACTTCCACAGTGTAATTAAAAATGTCAAGGAACTAAAAAAAACAAGTAATTATTAAGAATAAGAAAGATGGTTAAAAAAGTTTACTAGCACAAGCATTTAAGTTAAAGAAGAGTTTTTTTCAGAAATAATGAGCAATATTTTTTTGTAACTGCTGTTTTAAAATTATTTTAAACAAGTTTTTGTTTTGCTCTATGAATTCAAAATCTGTCTCAAGTAAACTAGCTTCCTTGAGTTGGCAACCTGTGCCAATTGCCATCGATTGCAGATTCTGGCAGTTAACATTGATAATAAATGTAATTGGTTCACTGCAGAACAGTAAAAATAAACAGTTACACTATAACTAAACCTAGTTAATGTTAATGTATTATTAATACAAAAATTAAAACACAAAAATGTATCTCAGATTACCTCCGTCAATTATTCAAATGTTATTAGAACTCAGTCAGTGTCACCTTTTTTATTATTATTTATAATCTTATTTCCTTCTTTCTGTGGTTATTCCAGTTTTCATTATTAGTACACAGCTTTAACGGCAAGTCTTACTTACCTTCCATTCATCCTGAGAGTTTTTATTCCTATACCACAGTTGATAATGTAGTCCTGGGTGAAATTCTTTATACTGAAAACCCTTTGGAGGGATCCAGGTGATATTTATCTCAGTTTGTGATATATTAGCAACTTTCAAGTCCAATGGAGCATCAGGAAGAACTGGTAAAAGAAAAACAATTACATTCTATGCTAATCACAAAAATATTAAGAGAACAATGTATTAGGTTATCAAGAAATTAATGTTGCATTTTTGAAAACACCCAAACAACTTATATATCAAAACAAAACACTTATTAAGTTAAATAGTCTCCATTCTTATCGATGGTGCTTTTTCATCCTACAATCAGATTGTTAATGCCATGATCAAAAGAAATCACTTGGCTTTGAAGCAAAAAACATGTCGATGTCCTCTTTAACACCTTCCACATCTGCATACGTTTTCCCATTAAGATGATATTGCAGCTAACAAAAAAAAAATGGTAATCTGATAGTGCCATATCTTGAGAATATGGTGGGTGGGGGAGAACTTCCCAACCCAACTCCATAATCTTATGTTACGTCAAACGTGCCACATGTGGACGTGCATCGTCATAGAGAAGAACATCTTTTCGATTGACAAGTGAAGGGCGTTTCTGATGAAGGGCTTGATTTAAACGTTCCAGTTGCTGACTATAGATCTCTGCATTTACATTTTGCTATGGATTGAGGAGTTCAAAATGAATTACTCCTTTGATTTCCCACCAAATGCAAAGCATCACTTTCTGCGGATGGAGTCCAAGTTTTGGTGTCGGAAGTGGTTTTTGTCTAGGACTGAGCCATTATTTTTGGCGTTTAATACTCGCATAGAGAATTCGTCTTTAATCATCAATTACAATTCTGTCCAAAAATGGTTCACGCGCATTACACGGCAGAAGAGACAAACAGTTCTGTTACATCCACTTCCACGTTAAAAAATCAGCTTATATAATGATTTCTTTAAAAAATCACACGCGATGCATAACCTAAAAAACAACACCGGTATAAATTAAATTCATCACATCACATAAGATGGTGGAAGAGATTATCATTGGATCTATCATGACTGGCTGGTGTTTCTTGTAACATGGTTGGTGAAACAAGCAATAACTTGACCAATTGGCTTATCATTAATTGCAATGAGAGATGTATCCACTTGATGATTCAATATCTTGTAATCATTATTGGTTTTACTTTCTCTTGTAGTGATTATCACAAGAAGCATTTTCAGTCAAGTTGTTGTACAGGATGGGCTTAAAAAGTTTATATGTTACATAGTATGTTGTCTTACATGTGGTACAATTAAATTGAGACAACACAGGAAACAAGAATCTTAACATTAGTTAATCTGTTGTCTATCAAATGAAAAACATCACTGTGAGACAAGACAGAATACTACTAGTGCATAAACATAAGCTAGTCTATTGTTTATTGAATGAGATACAACCTTGGTGAGACAGGACATAATACAACTAGTACCTAAATACAAGTTAATCTGTTGTCTACTGAATGAGATACATCCTTGGCGAGACAGGACACACTACTTCTAGTACATAAACATAAGCTAGTCTGTTGTTTATTGAATGAGATAAACCCTTAATGAGACAGGACAGAATACTACGAGTACATAAACATAAGGTAGTCTGTTGTCTATTGAATGAAATACATCCTTGGTGAGACAGTACAGAATATATATAGTACATAAACCTAAGCTAGTCTGTTGTTTTATGAATGATATACATACTTGATGCAAGAGGCCAGAATACTTCTAGTACATAAACCTAAGCTAGTCTGTTGTTTTATGAATGATATACATACTTGATGCGAGAGGCCAGAATACTTCAAATAAATAAAACATAAGCTAATCTGTTGTCTTTCAATTTTCTCACAATTAATGTTCATTTCACTGGTTAATTATATGTTTACGTATCTACAAAAAGTTCACCTTCAGATATATACCTTTAAATTTTAAATAGATTAAAAGAAAAATCACTCTCTCATCACAAGAAGCAAGTATGTTCGAAAGGTTTTTAACTCAACTTATTGCTCAATTACCACAATTATTTTAAATTGAAAAAACATAACCCTGTTCAAGGTTTACCATAATAGTGTCATGCATACATGTTAAACCTTGTAAAGGGGTACGTAGACATACATATACATAACTGAAGCATAATGAAACTTGCAAGTACTTTTAAATTTCCTTAACCTATACATACACACACACACACACACACACACACTACACACACACACACATATATATATATATATATATATATATATATATATATATATATATAGTACACAATACAACATAATATA